TATCCCCTTCCCCACATTGGCAACTTTGAGATGGAGAAAAAGAATAGGAATTGTCTCCACACTGTGGTTCTCCCATCTCCAGCTAGAGAGGGAAGGTAAAAGGAAGGAGAAAAAAATAATGGGGAGGGAGGAAGAAGCAGAGAGCAATCTGCAGGGCTGAAATCCCCCATAGGCCACATAAAATCACATCCTCTCCAGTGAAGAATACCCATCCCATCAGCTACGCCACCGACTGTATGTGCCGTGATGGTTCTGAGAAGCGGAGAATCTCTGGTTTTAAATCTTTTATTATGTTTCAGTGTAGACACACAAAAAGTACATTAAAGGAAAAGTGTAAAACTTAAATCAGGGAAACCAGTAGTCATCCAGAGAAGAGAGAGTGAATGTAGATACTAAAGCTCCACATTACTAAGAAGCTGGTTCTGCATTAGTAATACGAGACAATTATTGACAATTCTTGAACAAGATAATATATTGTGGAGAATCTAAATAAAGAATAACTTTCACATCTTTCAGGTACTTCTTATACCAAACATTCTTGCTTTTCATTGCTTTTACTTGAACACCTTCTCCTGGAAATCTCTCCTTTTGTACAATAGCCACCAGCCACATGAGACTACTGAGCACCTGAAATGTGACTTGTCCAAGAGATGCACTAGAAGTGGAAAACACACCCTCAATTTCGAAGAACTCGTATGAAAAAGGGATATAGAATATCTCAACAATTTTCAAAATATTGATTGCATGTTAATGAAAATATATGAAACGTAATCTCACTTGGCTTTTTTTAGTGTGACATTTAGAATATCTAAATGTGACTTGCACTGTATTTCTACTGGACAGCGCCATCCTAGAGTTACTCATTTTGTACCTCTCCCCTTTCATTTCTGGAAACTTGTTGATGGGTTTGCCTTTAGGGGGCTTCACCTTCAGGACTCATTTCAGTCATCTGAGGCCTAAAAGACAGCACTAAGCCAAGTACACTGACTGCACTTGGTTTGTTTATTTTAAGTGTGGGCTGTTCATACCCATGAGAGGAGATGATGAGGAAAACATTTTCTTCTGCCTGCTTAGCACTGGATTCCTCTGAAATCAAATCTTTCTGACCAGAGCATGGCAGCTACTTTGCCCTGTGACCCCCACGATTGATCTTTCCTTTTAAACTGGGGGGTTTGCAGACAGAGCTGGTGGGAAAAGCGTTCTTTACTCTTCTGCCCACGGGTCAGTTCTGGAGTTCCTAGTGGCCTTTGAAATGTTTAGGAAACTGTTCACTGACCCTTCCATCTGCCGGAGAACCCGGAGCCTCGGTTACCCTGCTGTTGTCAGCAACTGTTGTTGACATGTCTCTGAACTGTCACAAACCCAGGAAAAGGTCACGGTCTCAACTCTTAAGGAATCTGGGAAATCCAAGGGGAGGCCGACTTTCTGATCTATGAGGAAATGACCAAGCCTGAGTGCCCAAGCCAGAAGGTGTGGCTCAGCCTCTAACAGCAAATCAAGCCAGAGAAGGGAGAAGCTGCATGGGCTGCTGTGTTTGGGGAAGGTTTTTTGAATGTAGACAGTGGGCCTGGAGGGACAGTGGGTTTTGGATTGTTCGAAGGTGTGGGTGTAGGTAGAGGAAGAAATGGGCACCACCTGGCCAGGGCAGGGGTCTGGGAGGCGTGGGGTAGCCCCCGGGGATCAGTCACAAGTAAGTGTAAGGGAAGGGGGCGCAGGGCAGGGACAGATGCTAGGTACCTGGAGCCTGGGTTTGATTCAGGGGGAAGCCAATGGTGTGTTCTTGAACAGGGGTGAGGCAGAGCTGGACGATGCAAACCCAGGCTTACTGCTCCTGGGGCCAGCAGAGAAGTCCCATCTTCTCTTTGCCTCAGTGTGGGAACTGGCACATTGGCAGGACATTAAACTATTCAACGAACCATTATGTAGCACTTACTCGGTGGCGCTTTATTTTTAAATAAATACATAATCACATTATGGCGAGAAAACTATTTCCCACTTGTAGTAGCCGATTTAAAGAAACATGGGAAGTTAATGATACTGGACAAGGCGGGTGGATATTGTAGAGCCTAACGGTGCTCCCGCTGCACATAGCAGACGAGTGACGGAGGCTCCAGGGGCCCCGAGTCTGCACACAGCAGGTTTATGAAGCAGAGGCACCGCAGGGTGGTCAGAGGGTGGGGAGAACTGTGGCAAGGAGGCCAGTTAGCCAACTTCCAGGAGTGAGGATGGAGAGGAAACAGGAGAGGGAGGCATTGGTTGGGCCATTGTTCAGGCGGCGGTTGCATGTGTCTGCCTGGGTTCATCTGTGATGCCCATTTCAGGTACAGACGCCTAGTGTGTGGCAATGGTTCTGCACAGTGAACATGGGCAGGTCCCAAGAGCTAACTCCTGATTGAAAGCTGACACTTATTTGACGGTGGACCACACCCGATATACTAAGTCCTTGCATCACCTCTTTCATGCCTCACAATAACCCTGTAAAGTGTCTGCCATTATTCCCGCTCTTTTACAGATGAGGGGACTGAGGCTCCGAGAGGTGAAATGTGCCCAAAGCCACACGGGTGGGACTCAAACCCAAGTGTGTCTGACTGCAAGGCCTTTCGCTAGCACACATACCGCCTCCTTCTCGATGGGCACCAACGACATTTTATGGCATGTCCCGTTTCTCACATTTCTCCCTCACTTAACCTAGAATATGGGTTCCTATGACTAAGCTTGGAATCGGATTCATATCTCTAAGCACCAGAAACAACAGAAATTCTCCAGCCCATAAACCCCGTTCCTAACCCATATTAATCAGCATATTAATAGATCTGATTCTATGGTTAATATCGTCATTAAAGTGGCTCTCCTTGGCCCTTTAAGAAGCTCATTAATCACTAAATATAGACCACAACTCGTTCTTTTCCACCCTCCGCATGTTGCTTCCCCCCATTGTGTGATGCCATCTGGTGCTATGAGATCATGCTTTTTGTGTTCCTTTTCAGAGAGCCAGATTCATTGCTCTCTACACCCGGCAAGCCAGTTAATTCCAACTGCACGCATGGCTTTGAAAAAATTTGAATCTAATGCCTCCTTGTGGATTTTCACAGTATCACTCTTGACCGTAACATCACATGGAACTTCTGTCTTTACCACCATCCATGTACACGTGTACGCTCGTCTTTTTATCAAAAGGACCTAATTTGTCTTCGGTAAGCCATCAAGAAACTACAGGTCTTCTCCTGTGTGATTGGTGTCAAGCTTCATGCGTCAGTTGTGCCTGTGTGCTGGAGGAGGCCAGACCTTAATCATACGCTTCCCTCTTGTAATCTGTTAGACTTTCGGCTATGACAGTGGAACAAGCTTTTCAGAACAAGGAACTAGAACAGCGAATGGCAGGCCTCTGACGCTGCTGATCTGTCCTTCACTCCCACTTTCTCTTCTAATTCTGCCCGAAGTCTCTAATCGTCTCCAAGGGAGGGGAGCATCGGGGCTGTAGAACATTTTCTTGCAAACTCAGCTGAGGAGCCGTGGACTCACCACCAGACTCCCAGTCTTAGTGGTCTTGGAGGCCTGCTTGTTACTTCTGTCCAGGGCAGACCTTGCCACTCTCCCCACCTCCTTTCTCTTCTCACTTCAGGGGATCCTGGCAGTTTAAATTTAGCCTGGGGGCCTGGTGGGGAAGGAACGGGAATGGTAACGTGGTGATATGTGCGCTGCTTACCTCATTCCTGGCACCGGATGGACACCCCTGGGGGAGGGGAGGAAGATGGGTGGGGACTGGGCAGGCTGCTCCCTTCGTTTCTGCTACTCTCCCTGCCCACTGGGATCGTGCCTGTTCCCAGCAAGGGTCAGAGGAGAAGATGGGCCCTGAGGATATTTGCAATGATGTAAAAGGGACCCACTCATTTCCTTCCCTAGCACAGGAGTTGTTCCAGAGCCAGCCCCGCTGAGTCTAGAACAATTTCTCCCCAGTCCACACCCCATCGCCAGCATTAAGTATTATACTTACTGAAATTCCACTGATTATTTTGCATTTACAAGGATTTTTTTTAAAAAAACAGCTGCCAGGATGAAAGGATGAACATTCATTCACATCTCTTTTAAGGTTAATCTAATTGGATTGCATTTATCCCGACTGATCAAGATGATTTACAATGGAAGAAGGAAGTCTTGTGTTTTAATTTGAAGGGAGGGTAGATACTTTTATAGGATTCAGAAGACTTTAGGGGGGAAAATAGGCCCATATTATTTTATGCAGTAAAAGTATGGGTTGGAAAGGAGGATAGTAGAAGGTACTAGATAAAGTAATGAATACGCTTGCCCATTTCAAAATATTGTGCCTCAGGCAGGGAATTTTTCAATATCACCCTTTCTCCCAGGACCCAGAGCTCAGGTCAGTGAAATTCATGTGTAGGAATTACATCAGGTGGCCTGGGGTTAAATAGGCTCTTGTGGTTGCCTGGAGACCTAATCACCACCTCAACCGCCTCACAGAAGGTTGTCTTTATGGAAAAATGTCTTCTGGTTTCCAAAAAACACACTTCCTAATGAACTCTTCGATGCAACCCATTTGAGAGTCAGAGGTTGGACCAGATTCAGACCTATGCAGTTTATCTGTGTTAACTTACTATTTCAAGCTGATTTCTCCCAACCATCTGTATACTTTTAGGCCATTTCCCCTGGAGGAGTTTTGCATTTAGTCAACACAAACTCAGTGTTGAAATGCAATAAACGGACTTTAGATCTTTATCCAATTGAATACATTCAAAAGTGAAACGTGGATTTTTTTTTAAAGGTAGCACACTGTAAAAAAAAAAGAAAAAGAAACACGATTTAAAAAAATTATTTCATGTTTTAGGTTTTTACTGCTCTGACTGGCCTCTATTAATGAAAATAATCAAGACATTCCTAGGCCCTCCCCCATCCCACTCAGTTTGAAGACGTTATTCGGCCTCGGGCCTCCAGAACTCTATTATAGATGCAACTAGTAAATCACATCTCTTGTTTGCCTCAAGGTATTGCGCAGCGGTGCACGGCGATCAAGTACCACTTTTCTCAGCCAATCCGCTTACGAAACATTCCTTTCAATTTAACGAAGACAATACAGCAAGATGAATGGCATCTGCTTCGTGAGTATTTCTGGGAAAGGGCCAGCGAGAAAATGGTGTCTTTCTGAACAACAAGTATTCGTAGGTTTGGACTGAAAGATGCTGTGTGGATCCTACATGGGCCTCGGGGCCCAACTCTACTTGGTCAGAGACTCAGGGAGTCATTTCACTGTGCCGTGGTCACAGCTCGTTGACACATCCAATGTGTGAAAACCAGGCATAAGGCTTCGTAAGACAGTGCGGCATGCGTGGTGCTCGGGTGGCTTCCTGAGTCCTTTCTTTCCCGAGTCATCAGGTATAAGGACCTGCAGGTAGAAGGCCACTTGTCTTGGTAAACCAAGGAGGTTACACCTTAGGTCCTATTTTTGTTTTGCTTATACGCTATGCATTGTAGCTACTGTGTCTATCTTAGACACATTTTTATGAGCGTATGTCATCATCTTCTCAGAGGGTGTCTGTTACCTCTACATTTCAATGGTAGATGCTGCCCTTTTCACTGTTAGGGAAATGTGGAACTCTAGAAAGGGTCATGCAGTGTGATGCTTCAGAGGGCTGATGTTTACTTGAAAACTGTTGATTTATGCCGCCTGGTGATAGATAACCTGGGAAAGCAAAAACCAAGGCATCTAACAGTGGGGTGTGCCCTCATCCTGGCTCCACGTGTGCACAGATGTGCAGACCTGTTGCCTGGTCCCAAGGGCTGCAGACCTATCTTTGGGACTTACTCTTTTAAGAAGCTAACAATTTTAAAAATTGGCTTTGTTTAAAAAAAAAAAAGAGCAGAGGGAAGGAAGGAAGAAAACAGAAAGAAGCAAAGCTAGCACGACAATCTGAGTGCTGCTTTAGGGTAGCAACCAGAGTGGAAAGGGGTCCAGGTACATGTAGACAGTCCGTCCCTTCGTTTTGCCCAGAAGGTGGGGGAGGGACTGTGTTCCTGGCCCAGTGATCAAAATTGTGTTTTTGTGAGAGACCAAACCTGACAGTTGTGGATACAGTGGGAATAGTCCCTCCTTAACCTGGGGCAGTGGGTGCTTGGGTTGCAGGGCCTGTGTTTAAGGGGGGAGGGTGGCTATGAGCAGATGTCTCCTATGTGCACTTTGGGCCCTATTTCAGTCACCACAATGGCCTTCCCTTTCTCCAGTCCTTTTTGAAAACAGGCAGGAATCGATATAAATGAAAAAGAAAATAGCTGGCATCCGTGGTGCTCGGGTGAAACCGTATTTCACTGTAACTCGCTTTTTAGGCTCTTTCTCCAAAGTCAGATTAATCACAGCCATGGCCATGGTGGTAACCTGCATTCCTGTCGCGCTTGTAAAGATAATGAAGATATTTTGCACACCTGCCTTGCTCTCAGTGTACTAAGTGACTTGCTATCTGTTATCCAAGTTGACCCTGCCGCTGTCCTCTGGCCCGTTCTCTGCTTGGTATGGACTTCTCCACAGCCTCGCAGATGGTGTTACACCCCATCTGTCCTCTTATGAAATGGGAAGGAAGTGCCCTAAACCTCGATCTTGTAGGCCCTAAGCCTGTCTGTGCAACTTATTAATTTTCATAACATATACAAAGCTCTTCTTTCTCTAATTTTCAAGGACTCTCCTTCTGCTTATTATGTTGGATGTCTGTTTGTGTTTCGAGATTAGATTTGAGAAGAATCACGGCCGGCTTCCTGGGCATGGCCGTGGCCGTCCTGCTCTGCGGCTGCATCGTGGCCACGGTCAGTTTCTTCTGGGAGGAGAGCCTGACCCAGCACGTGGCCGGCCTCCTGTTCCTCATGACAGGTACGTGAGCCCCTCAGAGGCCTCCCCCGGCCAAGGTGAAGGCTGCTCTGGAAGCAGCTGGCTTCCCTTTGTTATCTCTTCATTTGTCCTGTTTTCACTTGTGAGACAAGCGGCCAGAAGAAGGTTCGTTTGGCATTGGTGGGTCATATGGAATTTAAAGAAACAACAGTGTTCAAAAGGCACCCCGGTTTCTTCATTGTGGCCCATTAGAAGGTTGGATGGAAATATCTTGGGTTTTAACTCCATATCAGTCAGCTCTGATTTTTCTATCCCATTTTTGCATACTGCACCCCCGCCCTGGCCGGACTCAGCAAACAGGGAGCCCTGAGAAGAGAGAGCGTCATAGAGCGGCACAGCCCATCCCCCAGGTTCAAAGTCAACTCCAGTGACATCCCTTAGTGATGGGGTTATCAGGGTCATGTTTCACACAGATCCTTCATTCATTTCATCCCATGCATGGTTTTTGAGACTCACTATGTACCACACACTGCTCTAGGTACTAGAGCACACAATGAGCTAGGCAGACAAAATCCTTCTCCATTTTTGTTGTGGGGAGACAGAAACTATTTGGGAGAGTGATAAAAGCTAGGAGGAAAGTAAACAGGGTGGAAGAGGGGATCCCGGAAGGTCTTGCTGAGGCAGCGATTTCTGAGCTGAATTGTGAGGAGCACCCTTGGTCTGGAGGGTGCTGCCGCTGAGGAGAGCGGGGTGGGTGGGTGTATTTTGTGCTACAGAAAGCAGACTGGTGTGGCTGGGGGCAGGGAAAGAAAGGGGAGGATCGCATGAAAAGCAGGCGGTGGCTTGGAATTTAATTTATCGGTGATGGAAGACACCAGAAGGTTTTAGGCAGAGGAGTGACTTGATCTTAAAGCAGGAGATTGGACGCAGGTGGGATGGAGGGTATCAAATGACTATGGCCTTTTTGATAAGCTGGGGAAGAACATTTTTGTCTAAAAAGGAGTCAGGATCTAAGTTGATGGCGAACACTGAGTGCAGGGAAGAAATCTTTCCTTCTGTTCCTTATCCTATATAATAAAGAGCTAATATGCTAATTAGACCGAACAGCAGAACAACCATCCCGAGGACTGTCCGGACGCTGTTCCGGACGAAGCTGGGGCTGCGAGGGCCGAGGCAGCCAGGGCTGTGAGGGCCAAGCCCCTTGCACAAATTTCATGCATCGGGCCTCTAGTTATAGAATAAGTGGGCTAGGACAGCAAAGAATCACAAAAAAATTAGTGTATGCATGATTCGTGAATGCCAAATTAACAGTTTCACGAAGGATGCTCAGTATTAGAACCAGTATTACTCTAGATAAGTGGCCATCTATAATAATAAAAGTGTAATATGCAAATCGACTGAATGGCCTAACAGTGGAACGACCATCCGGATGTCCTTCCAGATGACCTTCTATACAAAGCTGGGGCTGCAGCCACAGGATTGAGGCAGCCGCTGTGGTTGTGAGGGAGGGATCGAGGCAGCCACCCCTACTGCAAAGGCCACTCTTACACAAATTTCGTGCATCGGGCCTCTAGTTTCAAATAAGCTTATTTCTATTAACCTGGAGTTCTGTTACTCAAGTGACCACAACTGGGTTTTCTAGCACTTCTCAGGGTAGTGGTCACCCACCCAAGCCTTGTTAACTGGAGGCGGCAGCGCCCATCTGTGGATGACACTGGTTTCTTTCTGTCTGTTTTCCAGGGCTGACAGGTAGGTGTCACTTTGCTTTCTGGTGTGCTCCACCAATCAGCCTAGGAACCTCCCACCTACCCCTTTTCCCGCCCTATCAGTAATGGGGGTCATCATTCAACATCCTGACAGAGCATTCAGAAGTCACATGGACCCTGAGTAGTTGTGAGCAGAAGACCAACTTAGGTTTTCCCGATTTTGTTGAATACACAGCAGAGCACAGGAGGCTAAAATTCTAGTTCCTGCGGTTTTGGAGGAGGATTTGAACCCTCAAGACTAGTCATCAGGTGCCTGCCTGAGGGATTCATTTAAGATCCAAACTATAGAATAAGTGGGCCAGGACAGCAAAGATTGAGAGGCCCGTGCTGCCCAGAGAATTCCTTTATGCCTCTGCTGGGGCTCACTGGTCGTAAAAAATCTTCCCCATTTTCTTCCTTCCCTTTATTAGTTGAGCCCCCATTTTCCTGACTCTAGTCCCCATATACACGAAATAAATGCAAATTACCTCCCCTCTCCCCCCAACCCTGGGAAGGCCCACATCACATACCCTGGTCAGGAAAATGAGAGATGCCTGAGTAGTCGTCCAGGCATACCTCGTTTTATTGTCTGTCACTTTATTGTACTTCATGGATGTTGCTTTTCTTATAAATTGAAGGCAAGACCCTCCACTAGCAAAGATGATTCACTTTATTGTGGCACTCACTTCATTGTGATGCTCACTTTATTGTGGTGGTCTGGAACTAACCCGCAATATCTCAGAGGTATGCCTGCAGTTTTTAAAGGACACTTTTAATATGGGTGATACATGAATAATTTAGCATATAAAACAACTATTAGCAATAAGACAAATCACAGGGACATAAAAGCCAGGCCTAGTGGATTTTCCTTGGGAGACTGAGGGGCTGGTTTGGTATTACATGAAAGAAAGGTAGGAGTTCAGTATTGGGTTGACTCAGAGGAGAGCTAGGAGCCAAGTTTCCTGAGCCGGCTCCCCCTGTCCCTGCTCCGCCCTTATTTCTGATCCACATGTGGACTGTAACTTGGGGCCAGACTAGCTCAGGGATCCTCTGGCTTTGTTATGGAAAGCCCCTGTGCAATTGTTAAATAAAAACAAAACAACAGCCACAATAATAAAAAGCCATAACAACCAAAACAACAACAACAAACGTATAAACTTGAAGTTTGATTGCCATTCCTGAAGGACAAAGAGACACAACACAACGTTGTTTTCCCTCTTGTGCTTTGGGTTGCCCAAACAACATTTTTGGAGTAAAGGGAAAATTCACTTATAGATCCCATCCCCTCAAAAATTAGAGTTTAATTATTTTTCTTGCTCATGCGTTTGCCTCATTAGAGAGAGGGAGAGAGAGAGAGAGAGAGAGAGAGAAACGTTTGTGACCATCATCACATGGAAAGTATTTAGTCCTCTGGGCTACCACTTAACATCATACCCTCACCATTCCTCATGTCGCTACATCGTCCTCTACTCAGTGTTTAATAGCTGCACGTTCTTCCATGGAGTGGCTATGCTGTGTTGTAGTCATCTGTTTCTTTACTGTGGGATTCATGGAGGTTTGTTTTATTTTTCTACTACAAATGTGTCTTTGTTACCTTTGTAAACACCCAGATAACTCTGTGAATCCACTGCAGAAGATACATTAGTCACAGCAGGACAGGAGAACCCTAAGGGTTAAAAGAAAAAATTGATTTTAATTAAGCAGAAGTGTCTTCAGCAGCCCTTGTCAGAATCACCCCCACAGATTTTTGATGCTAAACTTAGCCCCTTCTAATGTGCTGGCGTCTTCATTTTCCACCTGAACTTATTAGCCAAGCCTTCAATGAGGAACATCAGCGATGTGACAGTTTGAGATCTTTCTCCTTCTGCCTATTGCATACAGACAGGCCTTGATTCCCCACGAGTGGAACAGCAGTGCTGCCGGCTGTCAGTGCTCCCCGGGGAGCCAGTTCTCCCCCTTCCTCTTTCCTGGGGCCTCTCAGGGGGCGCTGCAGAAGGACCAGGGCCAGGCCTCACTCTCCCAAGGGCTTCAAATGTAGCCCTTTGACTTCATGTCCTGTGAGGCGACACACGCGGTCACAGAGGCATTGAGGACGGAGGGAATAAGACACTCGCCTTCCAGCTGTGAACCGCTGCCCATCATTAGAACACACTGCTTCCAGGGCGCTGGGAAGCAATATTTCCCTCAACATTAAGGGATGCCTTCCATTTGGTAGCCATAGTCACATTATTATGAGGATAAGTTGTTATAAATATTTTAAAGGCTTCATTTGTTCAATGAAGACATTTTTAAACGTTTCAATTACAGTTATATTCCAGATTATTTTGTATTGGCTTCAGGTGTATGATATAGTGTTTAGACCAGGGGTGGGCAAACTTTTTGACTCGAGGGGCCACAATGCGTTCTAAAACTGGACCGGAGGGCCAGAACAAAAGCATGGATGGAGTGTTTGTGTGAACTAATATATATTCAAAGTAAACATCATTACATAAAAGGGTACGGTCTTTTTTTTTTTAGTTTTATTCATTTCAAACGGGCCGTAGTTTGCCCACGGCTGATTTAGACAGTCATATGCTTTACAAAGTGTTTCCCCCAATACGTCCAGTATCCACCTGGCACCATACATAGTTATTACAATATTAGTGACTATAGTTCCTCTGTTGTACTTTATATCCCCAAGACTATGTTGTAACTACCAGTTTGTACTTCTTAATACCTTCACCTTTTTCACCCATTTCCCAACCCTCCTCCCTTTTGGCAATATCAGGCTGTTCTCTGTATCTATGAGTGTTTCCATTTCAATGCCAACATTTTTAAATACAATTTTTAAAAAATACGTTTTTATTGATTTTTAGAAAGAGAGGAAGGGAGAGGGATAGAAACATCAACGAGAGAGAAACATCATCGATAGGGTGCCTCCTGCACACCCTCTACTGGGGATCAAGCCCCAAATCCCATCGTGTGTCCTGGCCAGGAATCACTGGTGACCTCTTGGTTCATGGGTTGATGCTCAACCATTGAGCCACACTGGCCAGGCTCAATACAATTTTTGTGTCTTGTTGTTGGGTCCTTATTATCTTCTAATGTACTGGTCCTCCCTTGATGGGAGTCTCATTGCCCCACTGGGTCCATTTTATGCCCTGAGTGGCCACAGTAACAGCAGATAAAGGGGAGACAGAGCCCAAGCTGCCCCAGCAAAGCTCAGAAACAATTAAAACCCCAATTAAGCTATTCATTGCTTTGCTTCAATGTATTGAAATAATAATAATTTTAAAAGACTAATTCATTCAAATCAAAAAAAAGACTTGACCGCAGTGGCTGTATTGAATTATCTAGGTTATCCATTGATTATAACTTAAAACTATAAGTTTTCAATGCCTTCTCTGAAACCCTTGGGGCCAGGTAGTTTCTGGAATTCCGGATGTTAAAGTCTCCCTTTAGAAAGGTAACATGGTGCATATGTTATCTAACACCTTCAGCAAGGTCTGTAATCAAATACATTAACATGTCTGCAGCAAAACATACCCTGAGCTGGATCGATGTGGACTATAAATAGCCTTATGTCCCATCAGGTCAGGCTTTGCCTTTAAATGAGATTGCTGCAATCTTTCAGGAAAAGAGTAGGTGTTTGGGGGATTTAATAGTTGCAGATTGTGGATTTTTTATTTACTTTTGTGGGTTTTTTTTTTGTAAAGTTTTGTCTCTATTACTCCTGCCCAGTTATTCAATCTGAGTGAAAAGTAGCATGAGGCATTTTTTTTTTTGAAATTGCAAAGAGACCAGGATGATGGGCAGGTCATTCTTTGAAGAAAGGGTGGGGAGGAGGGCAGGGGAGTCAATGTTTATGCCTCTGGGCATTGCAGTTATGTTATTTATCAAGCAGGCTAACCAGGGTGAAGTAACTTCTACTTCTTTCAGCCTTTTAAGCACATCAAAGGAGGATGGTCCAAAGAATGGGCCCAGTTACCCTAATTACATCTTACCAGCTGGCCACAGGCACCATGAAAATTTTAGGGAAGGAAATTAGGTTGATGATCTGGGATGGCCGCATAAATTTTCTCTGTCTCGACCCGAAAATATCCCTTCCAGCCCTATAATTTTGTGATATCATGGTATTTTCTAATTAAGAATATTGGCAGAAACCCTTTTAATATTTTATAAGAAAAGTAGCTGCATGCAGGGCTTTTCAGAACCAGTAATTATTCACCCTTTTGAAGATGCTCTCGGCAATAGCCAGGACTGAGCTTGGGACTCTCTCCCTGGGCGCCACCAGCTGGGCTGGACGGTATCCGTGGTAGCCACAGGTCACTTCCAGCTGGTCAGGGGAGAAGGAAAAGGGAAGGGAAAACCTATGAGAAGAATGGAGGAGAGGCAACTTCTCTCCTCATGGATTTTAGGAAGGACCATTAGATTTGGAACTTTTGAATACAGAGATGGTCCTTATCTTCTCATGCCCCTGTCCCATTAACTAGATTGCTACTGACAAAAAGGCAGCATTATTTAAAACTAGAGCCCGATGCATGAAATTCATGCAAGGGGCTCAGCCCTCGCAGCCCCAGCTCCGTCCAGAAGGTCATCCGGAAGGACGTCCGGAAGGTCGTTCGGCTGTCTGGTCTAATTAGCATATTATGCTTTTATTATTATAGATATGGAACCAAAATGGAATTCCACAGTATAAAAATTGACCTAGGACTAACAATCCAGGTACAACAAAGTTGTTTTCATCATTTAAACAACACTTTTTCTTGGTGTCTTTTAAGTTAGATGGTTTTAGTTTTACTTTTTAAAATACCTAGAATGGGTCAGGCCTCTTTTTACAAAAGCTTTGGAAACGTTGGAAACAATGCTTTGTCTTGTCTCAGTACCTTTCCTTGTAATATTCAGAAACAGTCCTGCCCATCCCACAAATGACATATTTGGGGACTTGTTAGAGATGTGAGCCTCTAAAAAGGAGGAACTCTTAGATACACTCTTGGCTTTCTTCTCACTCAGAACAACTTCAAGGACACCTTGGAAAGATTAAAAAATGTCACTAAAGACCAGCCTGTGGGGGCATTTGTGGGAAGGGGGAAGGGCAGACGAAGGCATATTTGTGGGCACATGGTAACCCTTTCTACCACTGTCAGCTGAGTGAGTAAAGGCCTCAGAAAATAAAGCAGGTTTTCATCAAGGTTTGAGGAGTGCCCTATTCCACAAAGAACTTAAATGGAACAGAAATGCATATAACATTTTATGATAAAATAAATACAGCTAAGTCATAAAAATAAGATGAGCAATCAGGTTTGCAAGGCACGATGGATCCAAGGGTGAGCTTAGTAGCAAAAAAGCATGCCATAAAGTCCCCAACTTTGGCTTGTGGTGGGCCCCTAATTTAGTTTTAGGGAGTGTCAGCTTTCTGGCAACTCAGTCCAAGAATTTATTAGTGACACATTCACAGTGTCCATGAAATAAGCACAAACCAAGTGCCAGGGAGAGCACAGCCACTCCTGACACTGAGGAAACCAGCCTCCGTTAAATCTGCAGGTTAGATGGTTTCTGATCATCCCTTTCTGTTCAGTGTGAACTGGAGGTGTTAATGCTAAACTTCATTTCACCAAACACAATTTTATGGAGTTGGCAGGGGAGAGGCGCTAAAAAAATCAACCTTTAGTGCAAAATCAAAGGGAGTAAATACAGAAAGAAAAATCCATGACAATATTTTTTATGTAGGTGCATATTACCAGATACTAGATTCGCTAGGACGTTTTGGGAACTGCGCCACATTTTGGAATAACTGAATTACAGAAATGTGACACCGTAAGGGACTTCAGTAACCAGCTCCCTCCCCTAACCCCTCCTTTTTTTCCTAGATGAAGAAACGAAGGCTCAGCCAGGCTAGGTAATTTCAAGGTTGCGCAGTGACTAGCAGCAGGTTTGGGGACCAGAAAATGCATTTCCTGCATCTCAGCCTATTGCATTTGGACATCAAAGGATGCTTAAAAGTCTAAGTTTGGACTCGAGCTTTCAGAGGTCATTAACACCATGTTACTTGTAAAAAAGACTTTTTTAAAAAAATCCTCATGCAAGGATATGTATTTTTTATTGATTTTGTGTGTGTGTGTGAGAGAGAGGAAGGAAGAGCGAGAGAGGAGAGAGAGAGAGAGAGAGAGAGAGAGAGAGAGAGAGAGAGAGAGACATAGATGTGAGAGACACATCCATTGGTTGCCTCCCTTATGAGCCCTGACCAGGGATCAAACCTGCAACCTAGGTATGTGCCCTGAACAGTCACCTGAGCCACCAGCCAGGGCAAAAAGCTTTGTTGTAAGCATTCAGCTGGGTGCAGACAGTTAAATGCAGAATGGAGTTGCGTTTCCTTCGAACAGGTCATTTTTCTATTATTATCTTGTACCTATTGAAGATCAGATTTTTTCTAACTGCCTTATTGTTCTATTCCCAGAATTGGTTAGAAGGACCTTGTTATATATAAACACTGTCTTTGTGTTGGTGCCAGGGAGAACATTCTTGTAGATGTAAGAGCATTTGCTCTTCACAAGATTTGAAAAGAGCAGAGGAGTGTTCTTTTTTGCCTGGTTCATTCCTTTATGAAAGAATTATTTCTATGATGATCTTTCTTTGGAGAACTCAAAGTGACATGTTTGCCTTTATATTCCGGAGCAAGGACTCGGAAGACAAGATTTTATCCTTTGTAGAAAAGCAATCACTTTAGAGTTTAAAAACAGAATTAGGCCGGGTAGAAAATATCAAATTATCTCAGATCACGCATCCTTTTAATTGAAAACATTTCTTTTCTAAATGAACATTTGGAAAAGGATTCAGGCGATGTGCTCTTACATGATTTGAGTGGAGGCAGAATTGCAGCACTTAAAAAAATTGCATTCAGGTGATCTTTATTTCTTCCCTATTGCTGCCGGCTCTGAGTTTATTTTTCTGGTAGTGTTTCTGATCCCCAAAGCTCTGTTTAAAAGGGGGCGTTATCTTATTCCCAAATCTGTGTCTCTGTTTCCTATGGAGAGGCTGCATAGATCCCTAAAGTCACCCAAACAATTTCCCAGCAAATAGGTGTGACCTCCACTGTACACAGGATAAACCAAAGAATGAAGGAGAGCCGCGTAAGACTTGGACCAAGGTGGCATTCCCATAGGTCAGAGGGGACCAGATTTGGTTTTTATTGCCCATCTTCAGCTCAGCAACAGTCTCATTCTGATCCCCTGCCCACCCAAAGGAGCATCCTTGGGGGTCCATTGTGGTGAATAGGAGCATCCCTTGATCACAGGCTCCTACAAAGCCTGTGTTGGGGGGATTTTTATCAGAGTCCCGATTTTAGTGGAAGGACAATGATACATGTGTTGGTATAAAAAAGTAAAATTTCAGGTCTGTCCATTTATATCACCCAAATCGCCTACATTCGGAATGGTTGAAGTATATGACCTGCTTACTCAGCTATTTTTACATCATTTCCAATTTCCTGGATTTAATCATATTGTTTAAAAGTTTTTATTCATTCATTAAAAAAAAACACCAAAAAAAAAATCCCCACATGATCTGTTGAGGCCCTAGTATGTGCCAGGCTCTGTAACTTAAGAAATGATTTCGCACTTGTAAAAATTAATTTAAAATCTTATTTACAGTCAACATGACAAGCACTAATGCTGGTGGTAATTCAAAGAGAAAGCAGGCTTGTAGGATTATTGCAACTATATAAAAATGTGGCAAACCTAGATATGGAACAAGGGAGATGAAAACTTTAACATTAGGTTTGAGTGGTTATAGAAGAGTTTTAAAAATAATTACAATTTTTATTAACTTTTAAAGGAAACAAATATAAATTTAAATATACATACCATTCAAGCAAGGTAATTCTGAATAATTCAAATTATTAGAATTCTCCCCTGTGTTCTTCATTCCTGTATCTCCCATGCCTAGCCTACAGTCTGGCACATAAAGGTTTTGCCAATCTTTGTTGAATGAAGTAATTCAAGTCAAAAAAAAATTATAGATCCTTTCTTAATTTGGAGTGATCGCCTCATCGGTCGGTCTGATTTTCACAAAGGCTGGTCTGGCATTTGCCTTGCATATAGCCGGCAACACTGCAACTGATCCTTCGTTCTCTTTGTATTATTTATAGGAATATTTTGCACCATTTCCCTCTGCACTTACGCTGCCAGCATCTCCTATGACTTGCACCGCCTCCCGAAGCTCATTTACAGCCTGCCCGATGATGTGGAACACGGCTACAGCTGGTCTATCTTTTGCGCCTGGTGCAGTTTAGGCTTCATTGTGGCAGCTGGAGGTCTCTGCATCGCTTACCCATTTATTAGCCAGACCAAGATTGCACAGCTAAAGTCTGGCAGGGACTCCACGGTATGACTGTCCACACTCAAGTTCACTGCTCGGTGGCCCGTCCACAGTGCAGACGACTCCTGAAGGGAACGGAGTGGAGTTTGCATCAGGATCCCAAGCACAAAACCGTCTTTCACATTCCAACCTGTTGCCTGCCAGCCGTTTCTGGATGACCGATATAAAGTCATGCAAAACCTCCCCACCTTCCTAAGGACAAGACTACTGTGGGTTCAAGTGCTTTAATGACTACGTATGCTTTGACTGTGAGGAATAGGGAGCCAGTGCCATGGGACACTTCTAGGTTTTAGACAAAGAGGAGGTGGCAGTGGGAGAATGTGTCTGATTGCCACTTATTGCAGAAAGTTTGTATATAACAATTACCTGAGAGTCATTTCTATTTGCAAAGGGATTCGTAACAAAGCAAGTATCATTTCCTTGTCCTCGGACCATGCTTGTTAAATTTTCGTACAGCATCTTCAGAACTTGTCCTGATGGTGTCTCGTTGTGTCAGCACCAAATGTCTGTGGATGTTCCTTGTCACAGGAGGATTCTTCTTCTGTTGCCTTATTTATTTTTTAATTGAAGTCTCTTCTCAGTCTTTGTACTGGAATCAAAACCATAAGGAAAACAGATCAGCTGTGTAAGAGCTATTCCGTGACACTATGCAGTATTGTTTGAAGTCCTATCTGTTGTCCACCCGCGGTCTCTTTCCGTTAACTGATTTCTGCATTAAATGACTGCCCCCTTGTTAATCTGGGCGTGTTCTCCAGTCTTTCAGCCGTGGCAGCACGCTTCCCAGCCATACAGACAGATGCAAACCTTGTTTTAATAAGACTGTCACTAAGCCTTTCTAATCGCTCCATTTCCGTTAGGTTGGCCATTGTGATTTATCTTTTGTATGTAGCAACCACGCACTTGTTATGGAAAAAAGATGTCATTAAAAATATTTTTTAAATATATTTTTTATTGAGTTCAGAGAGGAAGGGAGAGGGAGAGGGAGGTAGAAACATCAATGATGAGAATCATCGATTGTCTGCCTCCTGCAAGCCCCCTACTGGGCCCAAAACCTGGGCATGTGCCCTGACCAGGAATTGAACTGTGATTTCCTGGCTCATAGGTCGACACTCAACCCATTGAGTCACACCAGCTGGGCTGAAAATTTTTTTAAAAACCTTACCATAGTATTTTAAATCACGCCCCCCCCCCACCCTTTACTCTCTCTCTCTCTCCCTCTCTCTTCCTTTACCATCTGCCTGGTATTTGGCCAGTATTGAGGATACAAGGTCTCTGCTTTTCTCCCTGGACCACCTAGGCTAGTGATGGCGAACCTCTGACACGCGAACTCGTTTTTTTGGTTGATTTTTCTTTGTTAAATGGCATTTAAATATATAAAATAAATATCAAAAATATAAATCTTTGTTTTACTATGGTTGCAAATATCAAAAAATTTCTATATGTGATACGGCACCAGAGTTAAGTTAGGGTTTTTCAAAATGCTGACACGCCGAGCTCAAAAGGTTTGCCATCACTGACCTAGGGCAGGCCATTAGATTTCGACCTTGGCCGCTCATCAGAGTCATCTATTCCTTCACCTGCACCTACTCTGGACCCCACCCCAGACCAATTGACTCAGAATGTCTGCAGCTGGGCTTGAGTATTATTGAAAAACATCGCAGATAATTCTGACGTGCAGGTGGGATTGAGAGCCACTGTTCTGTGCCAGCCGCTAACATTTATTTACCTCTTACGAAGTGCTAGTAACCCGGCTTTGTTTTTTCCAGGCATAACTTCATGTAATGTAATCCTCTCCATCTCTAAGGTAGGTACTCTTATTCCATTTTCCTAGTAAGGACGCTGAGGATCAGACTCAGAACACGTGCTCCATTTTTTTCCTCAGTCCTCCCCCTACGTGTGGATGTAGGACAAACAGTTTAAATCCTTCCATTGTGTTTCCTTATCTTTAACTGGAAGGGTGGGCACTGCCTCACGTCTAAGCTTTTCCTCTTAACTCCCACATTATCCTCTATGCTATACACAATGGGTAATAAAAATGCTCTTTAAAATAGGAGAAAATGCCATATCCAGAAGTAAGACACTCTTGAGTTTTTAATTTCAGAAAAGATATATGTTTTTCCTTTTTTTCCAAAACTGATTGGGTGCTCATAAAAGGCTAACTATGATCTACCCTCCTCCCCTGACAAATAAAGCCTGATTTTCAAGGGACAGTGTTTGGAAGAGGTTAGATGACCCCAGAGACAGCACGCGCGCTCGCCGAGGCCTGTGGTTATGATCCCTGGCCATCTTGCAGGCCTGTTTAATAAACCCGTCCCTGGGTGAGATCAGAGATACACAGCACGGAGCAATTATTTTTATTTATGGCTTCTATGGGAAATTCTCAAAGCAGGAGAGCTGCTTCTTTGAAGCCTTCTTTACAGATCCCCATAGAAGATGTCGAGACTCTTGAACATTTATATTCCAACCACCGAGGCAGTGTCTGAGTGACTGACTTTTGAAGTGTCTGAGAAGCTTCCTAGGGGCTGGGGGTGAGGATGGAAGAAAGCCTCGGAGGGACAGGAGGTTGAAGGGTTCACGCACCAGAAAGATTTGCCCAGAAGCGGGGAGAGTTCAGTTAGGATTCAAATGTGCGCTGGCAAGAACAGAGCCTCGCCGCCTTCCAGCCAGAGCGAGCTCCGAGCAAGGAGCGTGCCCACGGTTTCTGCCTTTCTATTCACTGTCAGGAAGTGTGATCAAAAGTTGCCAAAGTCTAGCGTTTGGCCCCCCAGTCCTTGGGCTTCTCTTAGGGTTATTTTCTTAATTAGCTTTCGAATGAAGACGATTGAAATGGCCGCTGCGGTCCTGCGTGGGGCAGAATAATTTATTGAGACGATTTGTTTTTCTCCTTCTGTTCTCTCTGACCCACCGCTAGTTGCATGCCTGTAGCCAGACTGCGTTTCTTTGCCTAGCGGTTTTTTGGGGATTTGTGTGTGTGTGTGTGTGTGTGTGTTTTGCTGGATAGAAAGCAGAGGCAGCTGAGTTCATTGAAGTGAGGATACAGTGGGTCCGGGAGGGTGGCCAGGCCAGAGGACTGACTGTGGACTAGCAGAGCTCAAGGGCATCCCAGAGACTGGAAAGAGAAAAGGGTGGCCACCCCGTGACTAGGTGGGCCTCACGCCCTGTGACCTGATGGTATCATCAGGTTAGATGCTAGGAGAACTTTTGACAAGTCAGAAAAGGGAAACTGAGACAGATGGTTAGACAAATGGGGCCAAACAAGTCAAACAATTGACAGCCAGTTAGTAAATCACAAGATCTTATCTTCCCTAAACCAAGAACACTTGAGAGCAAATAATTTGCACTTCTCCCTAATCAGAGCGTAAATAGCTTAAATCACCCAGTCAGGGACATAGATAACAGAGACCTAATTAGTGCCATTCATGGCAGCTAAACCCATGGACTTCTAAAGACAGGAGAAAAATAATAAACAAAAAAAAATTAGAACCAAACAAATTCAAGATACAGGCAAAGCTGACCAGAAAATGACCCTGGTCCCTCTATGCACTCATTTTGGTACATCAACATATTATTTAAAAGCACACCTGGAAAACTGATGAATAATCTGCTAAAACTCTGCCCTGAGACTCCCCCCCTAGGGTTCCTGACCAAAAAAGAAAGATAAAAGCCCTTAAAACAAAGGATGCCAGTGTGGGCTTTCTCTGGAGCATGCCCACACCTTTTCTTTCTCCTAAACTCTACGGGTCCCCATGAGACTTGCAACCAGGGGAGCAATGGGCAGTGGTAGCTTGTCCCGGACTAACCCCCTGAACCTGTCTTCCAGGCCCTCTTCTCTGACGTTTCTAGAGAGCCAAAGCAGCCCCGCCTAGGCTCTCTCGTGTTGCTTCTGCTATCTCAGGCCCTTCCTTTGTTTCCCCCTCCCCCACTTTAATAAAGGTACTCTCCAAATCACCTGGACTCGTGTTGTAAATCTTTCCTGCACACAGTCAAGGAAACCTACACATCACAGGCCAGCCCGAGGCATACCGGCTCTGGGCCTGGTCCCTTTCTGGGGACGTCAGGACCTCAGAGAGAATGGCTGTGTGGGGTGACCAGGGATGCTGGGCTTTTGGTGCAAGGGCTCTCATGCCCCAACCGTGAGCAGTGGGTTGGGAGGGACCAAGCCTTGGAATAAATGATTTCTCAGTGATATCCAGTCTGACCCTCACAAGGCCCAGCTGTGTGTGTGTCCTAAATGATAATTGAGGGCAAATTCCCCCAGTGCTGCAAGATAGAGCTTTAACTAGAAAGTGGGTTTACAGAACTCCTGGGATTGTAAACTAAGAATCATGTCCATCTGCCATATATAGACAACATTTACAAAAAAAAAACAGGGCTTTCCTATAGGCCCACAGGCCCCTCCTTTTAACAATGTCATTCTTGGTTTGTTTGCAATGTTAGAACCATTGCTACCTACTCTGAGGGAACCCTATGACCTCCTTCTTTGGAGCACATGGACCTTTGATAGTCCAGAGTCCAGGATGTGGGAAACCTACATAGAATGTCATTTTTCCATAAAAGTTACTATACCTTTCAACAAATATTTACTGAATGCCTACTATGTGCCAGGCACTTGGGAAATAGCCAAGAAGCAAAACAGATAAGGGTTCTTGCCCTAGTGAAGTTTATTCTAATATCAAATGCACTAAAGTACAAGTGAAAAATGAGATCTTTCAAGCCCTAAATGTTTCCATAAATCCAGTATTCAAGTAAATTGACATAGTGAAATGTTTCTTTTGAATGACATTTTTATTGGCTGTACATTTTATTTCATATATCCTCAGCAACAAAAAAAGTACATGAACTTTTTTTTTTTTACTCTTTTAAAGACTTCCCATTTGAAACTTAAACCTGAGAACGACAAAGGTTTACTGCACAGGTAAGACTCAGTTACCTGAGCTAAAGGTGAAGAGGAACATGGGATCCTGGAAGCTCAGGAGGCCACAAGGTAAAGATCAACAACCCAGTGGAGGCCAGTGCATCGGATGCTAATGCTGCCTGACCACTGCCTCCAGGGCGTTGCTCAGGCTGTCTCCGCTGCTGGGGTCGCCCACCTCTCCTCTGCCTGGCTCATGCTGACTTTCCCTTGTGCCTCAGCTTCAGCACAACTTCAGCTTCAGCTCCTGGAAGCCTGCCTTGAACATGCTACACTATATCCTAGTCACCTGTTCACCCCTAACTGGGTCAAAGTCCCTTGTAAGGTGGAAACTGTCTTGTTCAGATATTGTCTCCAGAGCTTAGCTCTGGAAATCAGTAGGTGCTCAGACATCTCTGTGGAACAAGTGCATGAATTCAGAGTCTCCTCTTCCCTGGGCAGAGCTCACTCCCTTAGCACCGATTTTAGGGAGCCCATAAAAAAATATACAGTAGTAAAATAGGCTAAATGGAATGAGAATATAGCTCGGTAAGCAAGTAAGCTTCGTTGGAATAATTAAAGGGGCTATTAACCCAAACCAACCCAGATATAACTTGAAATGTGTTATGAACTAAGCACGATGGAACATTTATTTGATGGCTCAAACAGCATTAAGTTAGTAACCCCAGTGTGGTTTTACACCTCAATTGAAAAGCTTTCCCATTTATGTTCGGGTCTGTTTTAAATCTCTAATTGGAATTCTGAAAGGACTGCTTCAAAAATGACTGCCTTTAAATGCAAAAAGCTCTTCTGACCAAGAACTCATTTAAATGGAATTATTTGAAT